CTTGCTAACATAAGCGATCGGAGCTAGGTTTACAGAGACTCTTCAAAGCCGTTGTCACAGAAGCTTGGCTGACACAGTCTGCAGACCACGGGAAACTTGATTTCGAAAGTGTCACATTAGTAAGAGCCAATAGATTCCTGAAACGTAAAGGGAGAGTAGCTCTATTAATTAAAAATGCTCCCCCATTTGCCGTCGTTGACAACACATCCCATGAAAGTGAGACGTGTTAGTTAGTTGTAGCTTGGAATCCAAACGACAAGGGTTGTTGATTGATTTAGTGCACCTCAATCGAAAATGTGAGGCGATTGAGGTCTTGCTATATGGTTTCAACACTTGGTCATCAAGTGGTCGACTTGTAATGCTAGGAGACTTTAATGAAACTACGGTAGACTGAAAAAATACAAAGACTGAGTTTTCAGAAAATTCCTTCAAACAGAAACTAGTTGACGCGGTTATCACAACATACAAAATGAGCGACGAGGTGAGTCCCAGTCTTCGAATCATTTCCACTAAATCTCATATTCAACCATTATAAGGATGACGTAACAAATCTTCATTATACATCGACCCTGGGTATAATTGACGATGCATTTCTAGTCTCTCATTTTGTTTTAGTTGTCAATAACGAGGATGTGTCACCCCAAGTCAAACCAAACGTCTGGAAAGTAAATATTGAAGATATTATATACACTTTTCCCTCAGTAGATTGAACAATGGAACCTGAATTCCTAATTGAAACGGCTTGGAAAGTAGTCAAAAAACTATACATAAAAGTCACTGCACCGTACATCCCTTGGACTACACCAAGAAGTCCGAGAAACCCCCCACCGTGGTTAATTAATGAGGTTGTCACTCTTGTCCGTAAGAGAAGAATGTGGGAGAGATTTAGGCGATTGGGTTCTGAAGAGACTAGGTCTCAATATCGAGAAGTTTGAATCTAATCTGCCATCATTTTTCATCTTATAAAACAAAGAATTTACGAGAACACCGATATGTTCACAAACCTTGAACAAATTACCAATCGGCTGATTGCCGAAATTTCCCATCGAACCATGAACGAATGAAATTTGTAACATTAGCATGCGGTTGAAGCTCCATTACTCAATTCTGAAGGTTGGATTCACTGAGAGATTACCATTTCCAGGTTTTACACATGCTACTCAGACTCATGTCCTTTTCAAACTCGAACAGAAACTAAAACAGCGACAACTACAATGACATCGTAGAAACGACGAAACAAAATCATCAAGTGAGACACTTAATCCATGACACCCTACATAGATGAACGAACGACAAAATCCAGTCACCAAAACTCACTGAAATTGGACATAGACTTGCAGATGGTTAACCTTCGTGCATCACTCAAAATATTTTATCTAAAACAGCCAATAGCTAAATAGGACAGTTCTGATTGGTCTTTTTGAGAATAGCCCAAGGACAACACTCATAACCAAAGGAGTCGGTAAGTCGAAGCATAGAGGTTGGTATGGTGGTGTTTCTTTATCATTTACACCTTTATTTCACTTTGGGATCATATCCATTTGAAGGAAAACCAGCAAGACTTTCCTTCAATAACGAATTTATTCTAAAGCTTATTCATAGATTCCATGGAATCTATAACACCAAATATTTGGTGTTATGGGCATACTTAATTAAGTCCTAAAACATGTAGCTACAGTGGATGACTACAATTTATGAGCATTTCTAGGTGTTTCCAGATCTGCTAACGTTACAAAACTATAGTTTTGTGAAATAAGGAAAAAAAGCACCATCATCCACTTTGATCGTAGAATTTCGACCCATATGGGCCGATATCAAGAAATTAGGACAGAGGAAGGGAAATACATAATATGAGTAGTTTGTATTTACATCAAAGATCCAGTGAACTCGTACACAAGTATGTTGTAATTGGCCACAAAAATATGCTAAAAGGCTTCTGGATACAGTGTACCAACGAGAACTAATATTTTGATTGTTGTTAAATCCTTTACCAAAGTAATTCTGCACATTAACACACATGCCTTCGACCGCTAATCAAGATATGTTAGCTCGATTTTCATGTCACAGCCAACGCTATCTCCGCTCAGTTTTTACTAGAAATACAAGTTAGGTAAGATGACAGACCATGAACGACATTGTAGTTACCATGAAGAAAATTCCTGGTTTTCTTAGCTTTTCCACAACTTAGTAGGTCTTGGCAACCTAAATATGTATCATTTTTGCGGGTTTCGTATTTTATTTTCTCCCTAGATGAACACTAATGCTCGTATTGTATTTGGAATTCGAAATCAGGCAAACATCAAGTACAAAGGAATCATTAGTTCATACAAACACCACAATTACTCAATATTTAGTAATTAAGATATGCTGGTTTGTCTTCAATAATACTTGTGCTTTATGTTTCCTTAAAGATCCAGTTTTCTCTTTGGAATCGCTCACTGATAAGTCCAATATCACTTTCGAGTAGGGGTTTCCATCCGTTGGTCACTATAAGGACGAAATTATAACTCAAGTTTATTCGATCGTAATTTGAAAACCATTTTGTGATGGCCTCCAAAATGGTTGCTCTTAGAGTAAGCAAAAAGACTAGACCCAAGTAATTTATTATTTAAAATACGGGATCCCGGTATGAGATCATCTCACGATAGAAATAAAGCCAAGCAAATAACCTTTGCTTCATAAGAGATATTGTAATGTCGTACTATCAAACTAGTACCTCTTTGTACATGTCCGAAAGTATCTGCATCTTTAATTAATTGCGTATTTAACGTTTAGATATAGCATTTTGAATAAGCTCTTTTGTAGATGACATACAAAGTCTTTGCTTAACCACTTTCTCTGAAGTGGCCGTAACCTACAAAGCGTCTTAGCAGCTATTACATTGCAGTATCCAGTCGTTTTCACGACTTATGATTACATCTAAGCTTTTTATATCAAAACGTATGAAGTGGTATACGATCGGTGTATTAGTGGCTATCAACCCCAAAGTTTATTCCTAGGGGCTAACTTTTGCAACGTCTATTTCACTTGCATCAAATAAGAGCTTTAGTCTATCATCACCAGTACTTGTAACTCCGCAGTTGTAGGTTGTCTGTTAACAAGGGTAGTGAAGGGCTTCTGTCGATATAGGGTCCGTTTGAATTCGTCAAGACAGAATGACCGTCAGTATTGCTCCAAGTACAGATGCAACTGAGAACAAAAGCAGTAAAAAACAACCTAGATCATGGCTTAAATGTCTATCGGCTCTAGTTGTCAAGCCACATCAGTACAAGAAATAAAACTATCACGATGAATACCGAAAGAAAACATAGTCATCCCCATTTTTGTGTTGGTTGTTTGAATCTTCTCATTGATGTTTAGGACTGCAACTAATCAGTCTATTACTGGATTTGACTTCTAGCCACCACTATCTCTGCTTATAAAGTTATTCCAAGACAACTTGAGCTACGGTACATTACTGGTCATCAAACCCTACTTTCAAATGATTAAACGACTGTCTATTCACATTTTTTACTGCTGTATGACTCCAATGTATAAATTTACACGAGTAAGAGTGTATGCATGTACTCTATGAGAAGTAGTACTTTCCAGATGTCTTACGAACCATGTTTTTATGATAGTAACTGTATTGACTCCCAATTCTTCCACCAAAAAGCATAGCGCTAACTAGTTAGTTCTAAGGTTGCAAATGCTTATTTAGTATAAGCTCAGGGTGCTTAAGGGATTTCTGAAACATTGGTCTCCAAAACCTCACCAACTAAAAGCCCTGAATTCTAAGTTTTATGGAAGAGGTAGACTAACAGTGGGATCCAGGACGTTCATTCCCTCCTATCTGGGACTCGTTCACTGAATACTTGCATCCCAAAGTCGATATTCACCATGGCATTTGAATTCAATATCTTCCGCTTCAAATGCCAACTCATTATCTACTGGCACTTAAAGCGAAAGACACTGGGTCCGAATTTAGGGCTGAACATCAACTCTGGGATGCAGTTGCGCCAGCTGACGAGTCCCAGGTATGACGAAATGCACGTCATGTATTCCGCTGATAGCCAACTTCTATCCCTTCTATAGAACTTTAAAAAAAAGTATCGAGGCAATTCGCATAAGATACACATATGCCAACTAGGACTAATCAAAATTCAGTCAAGTATACCAATAACAGGATATGTCAAAACCTCTACAAATTAAACCCGAATTCTAAAGTTTTTGTACCTACTCTCCTGTTGAATCTTTGACTTGGATAAAGAGTTTATTTCATCTGATCTTCAATTGGCGAATCCAGCTAGTTACAGATATTCCAATTCCAAACAATCTGTGGATTTCTTATAATAGTCTTGTTTCTCACTACTCCCTAGCATTAATTTTAAGACCCATTCAGGTCAAAGCTCATCACCGACCAGCCTACCAAATCTCATTACCTCGGTAGCATGCAACCTCAAATGATTTGATAATACTCTTCGGTTAGCAGATTTAGGCCACATATTGATAGCGTGCGTGAAAAAATAATCCTGAATTTATCGCATCTGATATATTGTGGTCTTCAACGTTATTAATTGCATACTTTTAAAGTACTAACAACCAGGTAATCTCATGTGTTTGTTAACTCATGTCCAACTTTTCCTTTGTTCTATTTTTTTGAAATACACTTAAATAATAGTTATGTAAGTATGATCCACTTCTCTAAGATAACGTAAATTTTGAGTGACTTTCACATAAAAAACTGAATTTAAGTTTAGATGTACTTATCTTTTTAGTATTTCGTAAATTCATGTCCATGTATCTAGACATGTGCTTCTACATAGTGTAAATCACTAAAAAGCAGAAAAGTTTCGAGAAAAAGTCATATGAATGTGTGGGTTTTCGAAGTCAGCTTCAGACTGTTACGTTTTTTCCATTTCAGAAAGAACTTCAGTGAAGTACATTTTGTAATACGACAACACTTATATTGTTAACTACTTAGTGAATAACACTACTATAATTAACTGTTAAATAATATTATGGATGTGCAATTGTGCGATGATTCATTGGGTGATGAGGTAATACATCGTTTTTATCATCTAAAGAATTTAAAATAAAGAAAGATGGTACAAACTCTTTGGGAACTATAGTTACAGAAGATTCTAGTGGAAACATTCCAAATGTAAATTCAAATATAAATGTATATGATTGTATGGAGTTCAAGCGAAAGCGCTCCGTTATAAAAGAAAAGCGTTTTGTGATAAATGGTTAGTATACTTGTTATTTACATTTATATTTTTTTTATGTAAAATGTTTGGGGCAACATATGTTACAATGCTTTTAAGATTTCTTGAATACACTTCCTTCAAGAAGTTATCATTTGCGATTTTCAATGAAATACTAGCTGAGTTCACGTAACTTAGCAGTTTCCACAGAATGTAATTTTAATTCCTGGTCTCATTATTTCTCCAGTAAAATAAAACAGCATTCTGGTCTTGTAATCATCAGTGTTTTCAAGATATTTTGCATGTTCAGGCTGACTATAATTTCGTCCGATTAGTGTTGTAAAGGATATGCAAACAATTCAGCTTGTTGTTTTACACACATTCCGAAACAACTCTTAACCTAGTTCCTCTCTTCTAACAACCTGAATAATTTTTCATGAAACTTTGTCTAGTTTCACTATTGTTGTTATTGTTTCAAGATTATCTAGCATTCCATATGCATAGGATTTGTACATTATGTTGTTTTGATAGTTTTTTGAACATAGTAATATTAATACGATTGACTGAGTGATTAGATGAGTTCTCACCACACATTATTTATTTATTTGAACACATAAATATTGGTACAGAGGGGAACCGAATACATATACGCCACACAAATCTCATTTGACTTGTGTATGGGCTGTGATACTGCCCGTGTGCCAAAACCGAAGCATATGGTTCTCTTAGGGGGCCACACCCGGAGCCTTCGACCTAAAAGTCTGATCCACAAGGCAGTGGAGCATCGTAAGGAGATGCAGTCCCATGGTCCCGACCGTTGTTGCTACCTTGACGTGGTGGTCAAGCTTGCCTATCGTGATGAAGCAACCGAGCTATAATGGCTGGAACAACCGTTCCTCAAGGTCCTACCATGTCAGACAGTTCAGTTGAAGAGCGGTAAGACTTAAAGCAACAAACCCAAGGTCCGAAGGTGAAGTCGTACTGCTGAATGTACAGAGGTGTGACAGCAGTAAAGTGTTTCCTTCAGACAACCAGCATGACAGCGATGCTGCCTTCTCACAAGAAGGGGTGGGGTTAGATAAGATCAACCCTAAAAATGCACATCTCGCCTTATCCCGCGGATATCCGTCTCCGGCGGTAAGGTCTCAGCAAGACCGGAGCTAACACAAAAATTACTCATAAAAGGTCGTGTGTGACCGATGTCAAGCAGTCGTCCCTTGGGCACTGCGGTCACGCTTTCAGGTCACTAAGACCACCTCTAATCCAATTTCCTTTTCAGGCACCTCCAGAAGAACCCTTCCACGGTGTGGGCAACCGGGAAGTGACAACCGCCCTCATACCTCTAACAACACTCAAGACCACTGTATTCACAATCAACCTCTCTCTCCAATTCCTACTATTCCTCCTACATCGACTTTCAACGCTAAACTTCCTATTTTGGCTTCCTCCTCAAGTGTGACCATAGCCAACGATTTTAGTACGCAAAACGCTGTCCCAGGTCTACTGAAATCTCGCTTCAAACTGTACATTGGAGCCTCCAACCTACGCCCCTATGTCAAATCGGTCATCAGGCTTCCTTGGCTAAAATCCTAGAATCTCTTACCATTGATGTATGTTGTGTCTCCGAAACACACATACAGGATCCCAGTGTGGTCATTCACTTGACTTCACCTCGGAAAAACGGAGAGCCGAAGATATACACCCTCCGTGTATCTGGTGACCCGATGGCCAGTTCTCGTGGACTGGCAGGTGTGGGCATAGCACTAAGCATGAGAACAGAACAAGCACTGTTAGAATGGATTCCTGTTAACAGTCGTCTATGTGCTGTTCGGTTAAACGGCTCCGTAAGAACTCGGAAGGATAGGGACAAACGTCGTTGCCTTTTTGTCGTTTCTGCCTACGCTCCCACCGACTGCAGCTCAGATGAAGTGAAAGATAAATTTTACATAAAGCTATCTGAACTTCTTCAGAAAGCTAAACGTTCAGACAAAGTACTCGTAGCAGGTGACTTTAATGCCCAGATAGGTAGTTTAAACCGAACAAAGGCATTTAGGTGGGTATTTTAGTATTCCGGCACAACGAACAGATAATGGTGATCGTCTACTGCAACTGTGTTCAAACAATCGTTTATTTTTAGAAAACACTAATTTTAAGCATAAGGAGAGACATCTACGAACTTGGCGACCCCCTGCACCAAACCAACGATGGACTCAAATAGACCATATTGCCATCAGTCATCGTTTGAGAGGGTTGAGGGTACGCATCTGCTTGCGCCTCACTGGACGCAAAAAAGCCACATTAAAAAGACCCATTAGAACTGAGTTGAGTAACGAGAAAACCAAAAGTGGATTCCAGGAACAACTGAGGTCACACTTAGGTAGTTCTGAAAACGAGGCTGACCCAGATGTTGCTTGGAAAGATATACAAACAGCTGTGGAAACAGCAGTGACATGTATTAGTGATTTAAACCACAGGGTTACTAAAAACCAATGGATTTCTTCAAGGTCTGTTGCACTGATTGATTCTCGTAAACTCATCCCATCAGGCTCTGAACACGATGAAGAGCGACAACAAATCAGATCTAGGTTAAGCAAAAGTCTAAGGAACGACTGTGAGCAGTGGTGGGCAACGAAAGCAAAGGAGATGGAAAAGGCGGCTATTATAGGGAACACAAGACAGCTCTACAGACTAATAAAAGAAACTGGGATTAATAAGTCAAGTGTAAGTCAGACTATTTCGGAAAAGGACGACACCCTCATCTGCTCTCAGTCCAGACGTTTAGAACGATGGGCGGAACATTTCAGAGAACAGTTCAGCTGGCCTTCAGCTACTCTACAACTACCCTCCATTCCCAGACAGTGTGAATGGAACATTGAAGTAGGTTCCCCAACTCTAGCAGAAGTTCAAAAGGCTATAGTTAATCTGAAACGAGGAAGGGCTGATGGATTGGCTCCAGAGGTCTTTAAGGATGGTGGTCCAATTTTAGCGATTAGGTTGACTAATATTTTAGCTAAGATCTGGGACTTGGACGTAATCACATTTGACTGGTCACAATCACTTATCGTCCCAATATATAAGAGAGGGCCAAAATCATCCTGTGACAACCATAGAGGGATTAGTTTGACTAATATGGTATCTAAAGTACTAGCCTCGATAATTATCAGACGCCTAACTAAGACTCGTGAACTACAAACACGAGAGACTCAAGCTGGCTTCAGACCTGGTCGTGGCTGCATTGACCACATATTCACCATTCGTCAGGTTCTAGAACACAGGCATACCTATTGGCGGCCAACAATGGTGGTATTTCTTGACTTAAAAGCGGGATTTGACTCGGTAGACCGCGAGATTCTGTGGCAGTGTCTGTCATTGAAAGGCGTACCCCATAAGTACATAAACCTTGTGAAGGCTCTTTACTCGAACACTACTAGTCGAGTCAGAGCTTATGGCGAACTGTCATCTGATTTTGCAACCTCAAGTGGTGTCCGTCAAGGCTGTCCACTTTCTCCATTTCTGTTTAACTTCATCATAAACCTACTGATGAAAATAACATTCTCGTTGACTGAATTCTCGGGTATTGATCTCCTACCAGCAGGTCCACTTATCGACTTAGAATACACAGATGATATAGTCCTATTTGGTGAAGACGCTGATAAAATGCAGTCCTTTGATAGCACTAAGCAACAATGCGAGAATGTTTGGAATGCGCTTCTCTCCCTCTAAATGCAAGTTGTTGATTCAGGACTGGCCTGCGTCAACACCTGAACTAAGGATAGGGAGTGAAGTAGTCGAACGCGCTGACAACTTCACTTATCTTGGAAGTCTGATCAGCCCAAATGGGTTAATGTCTGACGGAATCTCAGCATTGATTCCCAAAGCTCGTTTGGCTCTTGCCAGCTTACATCACCTGTGGCGAGGGCGACATATCCGTCCATCTATTAAGGGACGAGTATACTGCACAGCAGCTCGTTCTGTTCTACTTTACGATTGTGAAACGTGACCATTGAGTAGAAGATACTGGTAAGCTACTAGTATTTAATCGCAGATGTCTTAGAAATACTGGTCGCATCTGCTGGGATCACTGGGTAGGTAATAGTGAGGTTAGACGCAGGGTATTAGGGAATGATGGTAAATCAGTTGATGAGGTTGTGAATCTTCATCGACTGAGATTGTTGGGCCACGTGTTACGTATACCTGAACACTGATTACCACGACGTGCAATGCTAACCAGTGTTGGAGATGGCTGGAAGAAAGTTAGGGGCGGCCAAACCAAAACGTGGCATCAGTGCTTGAGGACACTAACTTCTAGTCTGGACCTTGTTGGTAGATGCAGACTACTTGGTTGTGGTCCGTGTGACTATCGTGACTAATGGTTGGAGACTCTTGGTGATATGGCTCAAAATCTGTCACAATGGCGTCGGTGTATACACTCTTTGTCTTCCCTTAAACTGTGAGATTGAAATTGCTTTATATCTTTCTTCCTACTAACTAATTCTTTCTTAGACATAGAGAGTTAATCATTTGTGCGCTTATCCGGGGACCCTGTGGCATCTTCGTCTGGTCTCGCTGGCGTCGGTGTCGCACTATGCGCTAGAGCTGAGGCAGCACTAATCGATTGGATCCCCATTATGTGTTGTTAGATTGGAAAGTTCCATCAAAGTGAGAAGAAATCGGCGTGAGAAACGATGTATTTTCGTCATCTCCGCCTATGCCCTGACAGATTGCAGCCCGGATGCAATCAAGGATGAGTTTTACCACCAGTTATCTGTTCTTCTCCAGAAAGTGCGTTCGACAGATATGGTAGTACTAGTCGGAGACTTGAATGCTCAGGTCGGGCGTCTAGGCACAGAAGAGAGTCGTTTAGGTGGCCGATGGGGACTCGTTGGTCGCAGGTCAGATAACGGGGACCGTCTACTGCAACTTTGCACAGACCACAACCTGTTTCTGACTAGCACTAACTTTCGGCACAGTCATCGCTGATGTGCCACCTGGCGTCCTCTCTCTGAATCTCAAGCCTGGACTCAGATTGATCACATCGCGATCAGCTACCGCTGGCGTGGTTGTGTACAAGACTGCCACTCCTTTTGGAGTACCTATCTGGACTCTGACCATGCCTTGGTCTGCGCCAATCTTGCCTTACTTTTCAGTGGACAACGAAGTGACTAATACCAAAAGATTGATATTAGCAAGCTGGTTGCAACTTCTGTTGCAAGTAAGTGTCGAACCGAGCTAGCCTCTAGGCTAGCTACCACTCCACCGAAAAGTATAGATGAGCATTGGTTGCAATTGCATGACGCCATGAAAATGGCAGATACAGTCAGTTGTGGGTTCGCGAAACGTCCCGCTTATAAGCACTGGGTTTCTGCAGGTTCCTTACAACTCATTGAAGCCCGTCGGTCTACTCCGGGTGACCGTGAGTTTGACCATAAACGAAAGATTTTACGTAAGGAAATTGGGCAAAGCTTGTGTAAGGACCGAGAAGCCTGGTGGTCGAAGCGTGCTAATGAGCTGGAAGCAGCAGCTGCATCTGGTAACTACCGGAAGCCCTTCCAACTCATCCGAGCCACTGGCAGCAAGAAGTCTGGTGTGAGTGAAACAATCTGCGAGGATGATGGGATGCCAATCACTAACATCCATCGACGTCTTGGACGATGGGCAGAATTTTTCGAAGGGCAGTTCAACTGGCCTGTTGCTCCGGCAACATCGGTCAGACTGTCCTGCCCTCCATGGCCGGTGACGACTGATCCACCAAACGAGGAGGAAGTCCGCAAGGAACTCCGACTCTTGAAGCGTTACAAATCACCTGGCCTAGATGACTTACCTCCGGCTCTTTTTAAAGATGGTGGTGACTTTCTGACTAAGGAACTGACGACGTTGTTTACAAAGGTTTTGGAACTGGAGAGTGTACCAACGTCATGGAATGAGTCGATAGTTGTCCCTATCTTTGAAAAGGGTTCACGTTGTTCCTGTAACAACTATCGAGGGATAAGTCTACTTCCGATTGCGTCCAAGCTATTGGCTTCCGTCATACTTCGTAGGTTGTTCAAAACCCGAGAAAGATTGACTCGCGAGGAGCAGGCTGGTTTTCGTTCTGGTCGAGGATGTATTGATCATATCTTTACCCTCTGCCAAATGTTAGAACACCCCCATACTTACCAAAGGCCAACAATCGTAGTGTTTCTTGACGTCAGGGCTGCCTTCGATTCGTTGGACAGGGCTGTTCTCTGGGATTGTCTATTGAAGAAGGGTGTGCATGAGAAGTTTATTAACATCTTAAAGGCCCTATGTACAAACACCTTAGACAGAGTGAGGGCATACAACCTCCTCCCTCCATTGTTCCATTCGAGCAGTGGGGTTAGACAGGGTTGCCCAATCTCACCATTCCTCTTCAACTTTGCCATCGACGACATTCTGGAAACAGCTCTGATGTATGTAAGTAATGGTGGTGTGGATCTGTTGCCTGGAGAAAGACTTCTCGACCTTGAGTATGCGGATGATATTGTCTTACTGTGCGATAATGCCCAAGCCATGCAATCCGCACTTAATCAGTTGGCGATCAATGTCCGTAGGTATGGTATGTGCTTTGCACCTTCGAAGTACAAAGTACTTCTACAAGACTGGCAGGATTCCAATCCTGTACTCACCCTGGATGGTGAGCAGATAGAAGTAGTCGAGACGTTCGTGTATCTGGGTAGTTGTATGAGTGCTGGTGGGAGTGTGAGTGATGAGATCAATGCACGTATAGTGAAAGCCAGAGCGGCTTATACCAATCTGGGCCATCTTTGGTGCCTTCGTGATGTTAGTCTGGCTGTAAAAGGTCGGATCTACAACACGACTGTGAGAGCAGTTTTCCTCTATCCTTGTGAAACCTGGTCTCTCCGAGTTGAGGACGTTAGACGACTCTCTGTGTTCGATCATCGTTGTCTCCGAAGGATTGCTGACATTCAGTGGTAACACCATGTCAGTAATGCAGAGGTTCGGCATCGTGTGTTCGGGCACAGAGATGATGATAATTCAATTGGTGTCACCATCTTGAAACACCGACTTCGGTGGCTTGGACATGTTCTCCGAATGTCGTCCCAGAGAATTCCACGTCGTGCATTATTTGCCGACTCTGGGAATGGTTGGAAGAAGAGGAGAGGTGGTCAGTGCATGACATGGTGTCGTGGTATGAAAGAAAGCTGCAAAGGTCTGGCTTGTGTTGGTCATTCACGACTCCCTGGTTGGGGTCTGAGAGATGGTGCTGCACAGTGGCTAGAGACGTTATCACATATGGCTCAGAATTGAAGCCAGTGGCGATCCTGCTGTAACCTTCTTTTACTTTCTTCATAGAAAGTGGTTGTGTCTCCCTTACCTGAAAGATTTCTTCTGATTGTACCTTTCCGTTCCCTCATTTCTACCACACTACCTTACACCAATCTCCTCGTTATTGTTCTCTTTTTTTTGCTCTCCTTAGTTTTTTTCTACTTCTTTTCGAATTTTCATTGTTTTGTGTGGCGCATATATATTGGCGCTCTCTTGTACCAATATTCATGTGTTCAAATAAATAAAATAAATAAAATAATTCTTTCTTCGTGTACTATGTCCTTACATGCAATCTTTCTTTTATATATTACCACCATTGAATTAACTGCTTGTATGAAATTGGTGTTCATCTTTTTGTGCTAATGCGGTATGGCAACCTAGACAGATGCATATATGTGCCTGGTCCTACGTTGGAGCTGACTGACTGCAGTCCCATGGTAGCCGGTGACCAGCGATTGGTTCATACACCATTTGTTCACACAGGGTACCGGGGCCCATGTGCACCATTGGTTTGGAATCAGGATTTTCCAACTCCCCCAGGTGAACCCTCTGTGTTCACCAATCCAGTCAAAGCGCCGGACATTCGTTTTTCGTCCTCTCAATTTCATAAACAATACCCGTGGTGCGAGAAGGCAGTGAGTAAGACTTCCCTGGGAGAGGGTATATACGCGTGGCCATGTGAGAGCATTTTGAGAGGAAGAGCTGGCTCCCTCCACTCTCGGCCGTACCAGGACATTTGGGAGCACAAATGCAATCACTTTTCATCTTTCGATTTCGTATTCAAGTATTCTTTGGTAAATCTTGTTGAACCATATTCTCAATGATTAGTCTTTTCATCGTCATTGACACCGCATTATTTTGATTTTATTTATTCATCTTGTCATTTCCATGTCGCCATGATAACATGGTATGGTACCTTGTGCCAAAGCGCATCCATATCAGGTTCTGGCTTGACAGAGATAACTCACCCCTATCTGGGTCGTAAAGGCAAGCGTTTTAATCGTTTGATGCTGCAGATTGCCTTTTTGGTAGTGGTTATAATTTTCATCATGAAACTATTGTTACTACATTTCTATGTGTAATATACTTACATCTCTTGAATGAATGGGTCCGAATTCATATCACCGTAATTATTCAGAATTGGGGTTCGCAAACAACCATTATTAAACGGTTATGACATAATAGTTAGAATATTGTTATGGTAGCTAAGTAACTACGCGTTGTTCCTCACTTAAGGATGTTAACTACAGCTTGTTAGTGTGGGACCGTAATTCTGTTCAACCACTGGTAAATGGCTACTACAAGGGTTTGTTTTGCATTAATAACTCACCGTTCTAAAATGGATGAAAAATTGTATTTATTCTTACTTTCGTAAGACGGTTTTTGCATACGATCATTTTTAAATTTAATATATTTGCAGAAGTTTTATTCCTTATAAATAAGACATAATTGCCTGTGCCACTTTAAACATCTATTTTCTTAACTGACAGTTTCCATAGTACATAGTCTATATGTAAAGAGGATATCAAAAAATAAGTATACAAATTGAGATGTTATTACTTGTCTACGCCCCAGTAAGTTAGAATAAACATTCATGCACACCAACCCTAAAGTAATGTTCCGAACTCGGAGATGGGGAAACGTATTTCAAACATTTTCTCATCCGAATACAAATAAGTTTACAGAGTTTGAGTAGATATCTGTTCCTTACTGAATGTAAATGTTGTAATAACGATTTCGGAAAGATGAAGTTTGTCCCACGTTTTTGTGAAGAAAAGCAAAATTATCACGGAATCTGAATAAAATTCTTTATAACCATCAAACCAGGGAAAAAGGGAACAAGTGAAATATTCCATATATTCATTCAACTTGGTTTGACATAAGTAATTATATTTAACAAAACTCATTGTTTATATATGTAATGGTGACATTTAAAGTTTTGAGTGACTCGAGAGTATATAAGGTATCCAGTCTAGTAATATGAAATCCAAGAAATTAAGATAATTTACGTCGTTGCAATCAACACATTTGGTGACTATCTTAGTATGGTTTTCTTCGTAAATCGACATAAGCTAATGGATCACCGATTCCTAGTTTACACCGATCATATTTTTAAAAAAAACATAGGTTTCCTTTACCGAAACTCTTATTCTGTCATCAACTATAGCTAAGTACATCAGTCACACATCAAAATAAATATTCTAGAGATTTTCTCGTTGCACAGCTTCACAATTTTCTTTGTTCAGTCTCGAAGTGGGTTATTCGTGTGTGTTTCTGAGGTATTCTACTATAAGATACATTCTACCTTATTCTTCCCGACCCTTTACTGATTTCGATGTAATAAAAATCACTGAAGATGTCATGAAGAGAATAAAATCACTGACTTTATTCTGTATTTAATACAAAATGTCGCTTTTTCTAAAAAGGAAGTAGCACTTTTCTTTTTGAGAAATTTTCATTCTGTATCCTTGACATTTGAATACACAGTTGAAACCTAAGTAACCTCATTTATATTAAAATGTGTAGTGTACTTTCACAATATGTTTTTTCCTAAACAACGTTATTACTTCTTAACAACAGATATGGTTGAAACAGTTGATTTTGGTCTACTACCTGAGGGTTGGCTCCAACTACGTCATATTTCTGGACTTAATGTATATTTACACAGATCAAGCCGAGTGGTGACACTTTCAAGACCATATTCTATTGGACCAAGTAGTGTACGTCACCATCGTATTCCTGTATCGGCTATTCCATGTTTGGCTTATCGTAAAGCTAGTGGAAAATTTTTTTATCCAACTGAATCTCATACGGTAAATTTTCAGCATTGTATTGATGTGCCTTGGTGATTTATCATGCATGTTATCCTGGATTAAAAAAATTGTACAAACTTACTCTTTTCCAATGACTTTTATCATATAATCTAATTTGTTAAAATTCGTTTAACAAATATTCATAGCTTTCCGCACAACTATCAATTCAAAACTGACAGTTCATTTTAACTTCATAATTTATGGATTTCCTTTCGGTATGGCATTTGCCATCACACTGCGCATTTATTTTACTTCTCTCTTAGTTACATCCCCTTTCATCTTTGAACGGAGAATTATTTTGCCATTGTATCTATACAGATATTTGTCCACAGTATCAGGATTACTATCGTTTGCTAAACAAATACGTTTGCAACTTTCATTATAATGTTTCCGTAGTTCATAGTCTGTAGTCACATTAAAAATAGATGGTTATGTATGGTTGCATTTCGTGAATTCCCATTCAGTGTGTCAACTTGAAATCGAAGTTTTCACATAGTTGTTAAGGACGTTTTACTTAAAGAAATTCACTAGTTACCAGGTACATAATAATAATACCAAGCTGTCAATTGCACCCTCGTGGGTACTTAAAATCAAGTCCATTGAAATTATGCAGCCCTGGTCTTGATTTAAACACTTAGCGTACTATTTTATACTTATTTTTTTTACCATGTACCAGACTCATTTTGATATTTTGACTATGTTTCTACGATGATTGCCGCCTATCCTACGTTCTTAATCGCTCACTTATATCAACGAAGAACGTTGGACGTCAGATAAAATTAACAAGGTGAATAACAAATAGTTTTAAATGATTTTAGCAGAAATATCAGTGATAAAAATTAAACACTGAAAATATAATTTTCGAAGATGGAATGAAAAAGTATTTGTGAAGCAACAATAGGACCTTAGATCTCGAGGAAAACAAAAAGTAAATTCATTTGCACCATTGTGAACAATTTTGAGCCATGTCGGTCTCAATCTCCAACCACTGGTCTCCGTTACCAAGTGGACCCCAATATGGTAGTCTGAATCTACCAATATGGCGCAGACCAACAGTCTATGAATTCTTGGACTGATGTAACCTTTTAGTTTTACTACCAAACGTAAACATAATAATAATAGTATTAAATTTAGTGGGGAATATACAAACTCTTGGGTCTGTTTAGAAAGTACTCCACTAGCTACGAACGGACCAGTTCACAAAAATAGGAAGAAGACCATGAACGCAAGTGGTAGTGTAATAGAATTAGAACAAGGTGCTCATTTATGTACAAAGCAGTTGTCGCTTCATACGAACACCACATCTACTACAGGTTAAATACAGGTCTGAATTTTTATAGTTCACTCTAGGTTTTTTACGAAGGTTTTTTGTATGTATAACGGACTGTATTTGTGGTGGTTTTTGTATTATCTAGAATAGATTCATTAGTTACAGAATTAAAATTAGGTATCGAAACGTATTTCATCAACATAGAGGTTTTGTGTACAAAAGTCGTAATATTTTTTGTACGGAAACTGTAGACTTGGTAATGTTATTCAGTCAAATTCCACTGGATAATCAGAAATCAATAGCACAATAATACATAACCGTTTCAGACTGCAAGTACCTCATATTCGGATAGAGAGCCTTTGCTTTCTTTTGGTAATTTTGCTGGAGTTTTTGTCTCAGAATGCATGGCATTCTTATGTCTACTTTCTTCTCCAGTTTGTTGAGTGTTATAGTAAAAAAAACGAAATTAACAATAGTTTTCTATTTTTCGAAAAAACGTTCTCCTTGACCATTGAAATGAAAATGTTTGGGAGTAGAGTACGAATTTTGCTATCTATACTGTTCAGCCAAGTAGTAACTGAGTATGTCGCAACATTCATATTCATTTAGTTAATTCCATATTAAATCATTTCCCAAATTAAACTTGTCATATCTATGATCAAATTAGTCAATTGTGAGCAGTGAAAGTAAATTAATGATGGGATATTTATGTGTGCGTGTAAATATGGTACTTTTGACCATACTACATATACGTAATAGTTATAATACCAAAAAGTATCACCATTAACTCTATTCAGTTTTATCCAGTCAGCCAAACAGTGATCTTTTCTTTTCATTGTCGTTTTTATTCTTTTGTCGTCTTTTTTTCATATAATTAATTCATTAATTATGATATATATAAAGATCCCTTCAGAATTCACTAGTCCAGTGAATGAGTTAAATAATAAAACAGTATGTTGTCCGTTTGAAATATCACCAACAAACATCCCATCTGAAGATGTACAAACAGTCCAAAAATTAGACCTATCTAATGAATCGTTAGAAGATGAAGTGTCAGTGATAAATAACAAGCATGAGGATGAGCTATCAATCAATGGTGGTGCTTCAGTATCATTCAGTCGTAGTAGAAATAACTCGTTTTCATTACCTGAAGATAACAATAATACTAATCACGATATTGTTGATGTAGTGAAAAGTAAAAATTCCGATAAAGAAGAAGGTGAATTATCTTCTGGTGATGATGAAAAAGAGAATTCGTTTGAAGATGATAGTCGAGCTAAAAAACCACGTTTGAATAATAATGACGATGTTAGTGATGGTGTTGGCGAAGATTCAATCGACTGTTCATCCAATGAAACATCATCTTTACAAAGTAAACATTTTTTCATTATTTTTTTATTTATTGGAATTTCCTTAATTAAATATTTAAAAATACCCATAAATTTTAAGACTAACCAATTTGTGATTTTGAAAGGAAATCGAAGATTTAATACTCACCAAATACGAGTTGGTGTACTTGACTACAAGCCACATTCCAAAAGTGAAAGCCGAAGATACTTTCCGGTTGCCAAAACTAAAGTCGTTGAGGAGGGGTTTGGACCTACCATGAAGTGGGTGTGTTAAACCCTTTGGTCATTGAACCATCCCTTAAAGAGTATTTATAAAATAGTCTGGTGATTGTTTCTCATCCTGAAATGAACAGTAGGATTGAGAAAATAACACTACCTAAAATAGCTTAACTCATTCCTCACTTAACCTAATCATCTCATGACTTCGGTTTCTTAAGGCCAGGTAGAGATTAGTTTATTATGTAAAAATCATTATATAGGTTGGTTATGGAGATTTGTTTGATTTGATTATAGTTTTCACCACTGACTGTCGCTATATTATTGTTTCGCGTTTCAATTCAGCCACTAATGCACGCTCCTACTTTCAACCTATTTAACTATACAGGTGAATAGACCTAAAACTGTACGGGAAGTCTTATTTTCGAAAGTGGGATAGTAATGCTTATAACTTATTATTATATTTATAGGTTGTGAGAATAATAGGAACATGTTGTCGATAGTGACCTTCGGCAATGAACGACTCATTTATTCGTTCGAGTTTCCATTCATCTTCACTTTTTTCTCGTTGTTTTGAGACAGCATGAGGTTTGCCATGGTTTGTCCGACGTACAACTTATGATGAGCTATTGAAAAGCAGGTTCTATTTATTGGTCGATTTGTAATAGAGGTTGAGATCCCTCAGCAGTGTTCAATAAATGCATTTTGCGACGTGGATTTCTGAACATCCATATCCCATATAAAGTACAAGATCCTTTTAGACCTATGATTTGGAGTTGGAAGGTCCACATTTCTAACTTCGTTCAGTTCTTTGGTTTTTTGTAGTTCTCCAGCGTATGTCAGTCTGAAAAGAATAGATTTACCCAACATGTATTATGGTCTCTCTTATGACGACTCAACTAGTCTTACTGCTTAATATTTATTCAGACACTACTTCACTTAACTAGTCCTCGATTCGGAAAACAGTTGGATGGAAACATGATTATGTTCCAAATAAACAAGATTGACTGAAAGTAAAATTCGCAATAAGAAGGACGTGAATATGACTACAATTTTACATGAGGAGATTCTAGAGTCTTCTCCAACTGTCCTCTAGCTCTGATTGTCTAAGAAGTGACCAGTCAGCGTACTCCAACACAATCCTGCGCGGAACATGCTTTAATCCAATCTATATCCCACTAACAATATGACTCTAATTACTATTGTCCTTAATGATATTGTTCATACTACTATGTGATAGACTTACCATATTTTAAATTAAGTTTATTCCTCGCTTGGGAAAATGAATTGTAATGATGAAAAAAGTACCTTTCTGGTTTACATCTGATGGCATTTGATTATGTAATCAAAGCGTCATAGGAAGTTCAACCAATTCATACGGTACTATTGATGATATTAATTTTTTGTAGCTTAACATCTACAATATTCTCAAGTTGGCTTTTAAATCGTTCGTTTTTTTTACAATTCTTATCATTGTTTCTATTATATTTACTGTAGATTCGTTACCTAAAGCAGCTGAAGAAGTGTCAAATACTTGTAATAACGTTCTATATAACAGATCAACTCATTTTGGAAATAGCTATCGTAAATTTAGACGTGGTAATCTTCTAACCAAAAGATCTTGTTTAACAACATCACCAAATGTTCAACTGTCAGAGTCTGATCGTATATCCAACGTATCTACCAATAAACAAAATGAGGTGCCTACTGGAACTCAAGAAATTGTTGCTGTTAAAACTCAGGTTAGATGTGAAGAAATATGAAGGTGATTATTGTCTGCTAAGTATTTTTCTTCTATCTCTAGTTTTGTCCAAAATATATTTTAACACCTTACTGATTTAGGAAAAAAACCGGCTTGAAATTTTAGGTATTGTTAGACTTACTGGAAAACTCGCTCAAGACTAATGGACTCGAATGAGTATCTTAACTTTAACAGAGATAATGTTAAAAGTGACCAATTCAAATAGCAGAACGAAAAATCATTACGTTCACCGAGAAGGGTGCTAGTTTACAAATAACCAACAAGGTGAGAGCGGAGTAATCGTACAGTTAATTAGTTGCTCATAAATACCAGAACTAAAACATATAAATATGTGTAAGCTTTTAAAAAATGTAACAGAACTACATTTTACATTTAAGATGATCACAAAGTTAATTCCCTTCTGATTAAGATCATTTTGACGCTGCATTTAATCGTATTTTTCAAGGTGTTTTCTATTAAAGACAAAGAAAAAGAATCTCTGTTGACACCTGATGATATTCGTGAATATTGTGGACGTCTTTTTGAAATCAGAGTAGAAGATACAGTAATTAAAAGGTATTCAAATGATTGTTTAAATTGTAGTTTTTGGTTTAATTATGTTAATCCAACTTTATTTTTGATTGTTTTTTTACTACATTGTTTTAATCTGTACAAAAAAGGTCGTTATATGTGCTTACTTACTTACGCCTGTTACTCCTCGTGAAGGAGCATAGGCCGCTCACCAGCATTCTCCATCCAACCCTGTCCTGGGCAATCCTTTCCAGCTCCTTCCAGTTGTAATTCATCCTTTTCATATCTGCTTCTATTATCCGACGTAATGTGTTCTTTGGCCTTCCTCTTTTCCGCTTCCCTTCAGGATTCCAAGTTAGGGCTTGTCTCGTGATACAGTTTGACGATTTGCGTAATGTATGTCCTATCCATTTCCATCGTCTTCTCCTAATTTCCTCTTCAGCTGGAAGTTGGTTTGTTCTCTCCCACAGAAGGCTATTGCTGATGGTATCTGGCCAATGGATGTTGAGTATCTTGCGTAGACAGCTATTTATAAATACTTGTACTTTCTTGATTGTGGTTGTTGTAGTTCTCCAAGTTTCAGCTCCATACAGTAGAACTGCCTTGACGTTCGTATTGAAGATTCTCACTTTGATATTGGTTGAAAGTTGTTTTGAATTCCATATGTTCTTCAATTGTAGGAATGCGGCCCTTGCTTTGCCAATCCTCGCCTTTACGTCTGCATCTGAACCTCCTTGTCCATCGACGATGCTTCCCAGGTATGTGAAGGATTCTACATCTTCCAGAGTTTCGCCATCAAGAGTGATTGGATTGCTGTTTTCCGCTTTGAATTTGAGGACCTTCGTTTTCCCTTTGTGTATACTGAGGCCTACTGATGCAGAGACTGCTGCTACACTGGCTGTCTTCATCTGCATCTGTTCGTGTGTACGTGATATAAGAGCTAGGTCATCTGCGAAGTCCAGATCGTCTAATTGGTTCTGAGCTGTCCATTGTATTCCATGTTTTCCTTCAGATGTCGAGGTCTTCATAATCCAGTCGACCACCAGAAGAAAGAGAAAGGGAGAGAGTAAACAGCCTTGTCTGACCCCGGTCCTTACTTGGAATGCATCTGTCAGCTGTCCTCCATGCACGACCTTGCACTGTAGTCCGTCGTATGAGTTCCGGATAATATTGACAATCTTCTCAGGAACTCCATAGTGTCGAAGAAGTTTCCATAATGTCTTCCTATCTACACTGTCAAATGCCTTTTCATAATCAATGAAGTTGATGTATAGTGATGAGTTCCACTCAACTGATTGTTCGAAGATGATCCGTAGTGTTGCAATTTGGTCTGTGCACGACCGATCCTTACGGAATCCAGCTTGTTGATCTCGAAGTTGGGCGTCTACTGCATCCTTCATCCGGTTCAGCAAAACTCTGTTGAAGACCTTCCCTGGTATTGACAGTAGTGTTATGCCTCTGTAGTTTTCACATTTGCTCAGATCTCCTTTCTTTGGAATCTTGACGAGGTGCCCTTCTTTCCAGTCCATTGGCACTTGTTCCTCCTCCCAAATCTTTTTGAATAGAGGGTAAAGCATGCTTGTGGTTACTTCGACGTCTGATTTCAGTGCTTCAGCTGGTATGTTGTCGGGTCCTGCTGCTTTCCCGCTCTTGATTTGTCTGACGGCCGCTCTAATTTCTTCCGTCGTTGGTGGGTTGACATCTATAGGAAGATCTGTGTGTCCTGCTTCGATGTTCGATGGATTCATAGGAGCCGGCCTATTCAGGAGTTCCTCAAAGTATTCTACCCATCTGTTACGCTGTTGTTGAATTTCAGTGATTGGCTTGCCTTCCTTGTCTTTGACCGGCCTCTCTGGTTTATTGTATTTCCCTGCTAGTTTCTTCGTTGTATCGTAAAGTTGTCTCATATTTCCTTCTCTAGCAGCTTTTTCTGCCGTCGTTGCTAATTCTTCCACGTATTTCTTCTTGTCAGCTCTAATGCTCCTCTTCACTTGCTTGTTTGCTTCTATGTATTCAGCTTGTGCTTGGACTTTCTCTGCTCGTGTTCGGCTGTTGTTTATTGCTGCCTTCTTGTTCTTCCTTTCTTTGATCTTGTCCAGTGTTTCTGTAGAGATCCATTCCTTATGATGGTATTTCTTTAGACCGAGAACCTCTTGACACGTTGAAGTTAATGCTTCTTTGATGCTTTTCCAGTTGTCCTCCATAGTAGTTTCTTCTTCTTTCAGTAGATCTTGTAAGGCTTGGAACCTGTTGTTGAGAGCTATCTTGAATTCATTGAGTTTGACAGTATCTCGAAGGAAGGCTGTATTGAACCTTTGTATTGCTGTTTGTCCACTTGTCCAGTTCTTTTTTTAGCTTCAGTTTCAAATTGGCTACAACTAGGTGGTGATCTGAAGCTACGTCAGCTCCTCTCCTGGTTCTCACATCTTCCATTGTCCTTCGGAATTTTTTGTTGATGCAAATATGGTCTATCTGGTTCTCTGTAGTGTGGTCCGGTGAGATCCATGTAGCCTTGTGTATACGCTTGTGTGGAAATATTGTGCCTCCTATGACTAATTTGTTGAATGCACACAAATTTGCAAATCTTTCTCCATTTTCGTTCCTCTCTCCCAGTCCATGTTGCCCCATAATATCTTCATATCCGATGTTGTCTATTCCGACTTTGGCATTTAGATCTCCCATTAGAATGGTGAGGTCCTTTCTTGGGCATTTCTCAATGACTGACTGCAGCCGCTCGTAGAACTGATCTTTAATGTCGTCGTTGCTATCATTGGTGGGTGCTCGTTATATGTGCACTTGAAACAATTGATGTGGATGATAATTTCGTAATAGAATTAGAACACTATAATTTCCCTAACATCGACACAAATATTTTATAACAAAATGAATTCTTATGCGAACCGAATGTACTTTTCCAACAACAATAACAAACTTCATAAATTATCCATAGACAACCTTATATGGACAATACTCCTAAATTTTTTTGTACTGTGCACGCGAATCCACACCAACCGTTGCAAAAATAATATCTTCTTCGAGGACAAGCAATAGCTGCTGCGTGAATGGAATAAAATGTAACCAAACAGTCAAGGTTATTGATAGTATTAATGAGGGATAAGTCTTGATACAAGCTTTGATTAAAATAAGGAACAACTTTCTATGAATAACTTGGGAATCGTTAATAAAGTAAATGATAAAATATTTCTTCAGAACTTCAAGTTTTCAAACAAAACTTTTATTTTTTCGTTAAGCTTCAATTTCGTTTTATTCAAAGTTTCCCTGAATCATGAGATAGTTTAAATCACGAACTTTATCTGAAAACATATTGGAAATCAGGGAGTACTATACAGATATTTTAGACTAGTCTAAAGCTCTCCACTTTTGCAACCACGATCCCACTAGAGTTCTAAAACATTACCTTCAGATTAGACAGATAAATTTGAACCCAATCGTTCATATTTATAAGCTCAATCAATTCGTGATGTAGCATTACGATTATCCAGGTTTTACCGTTTATACCTATTTGACTGTCGATATTGATGTTCCTCATCAGTTCCAATCATATTTGCTACTTCTTCCCAGTGTTTGAGCTTGCTTACCATAACGATGCAGTGATCTATATTGATTAGCACACTTATTCCTTCATGTTTCACTATCCTAAACAGGCTTGTTGGAGATCGGGAAAAGCAAAATTGTCAAAATCAAAGTTCAAATAAGAAGTTAAATAACTATTTGGCTGCATTAAGGTGTTTCCAGTAAATCATCACTATTTTCTATGATATTAGCTTTCTACGATGAAGAAAAAGGTCACAAAAGTTTGACACTTAAGATAGTTTACTTCATATTATCTCACAGATTTATAGTGTATTCAATAAGATTTGATAAATATACGGTCAAAGCAATAAAACCTATTCACAATGAAGTTGCTTCGCAACTGGCCTCAAGTGTTTTACCCCTGAACTTTACGACAACCATCTCACATCGTCAAGGCCATTTATACTAGTCTAATTTTGTTTACAGGTCTTTCAAACATATATATCTTGAAACTCAAGTTTATTGGGGCACATGCTTAAATATTTAAACGTTCACCTTCAGAGAATATGTCCCATGTTTAAAGGTAGACAATCGGCTATTACTTCGAGTTATACTCAATTATTACTATATCAAATTTCTTCAGCTTTCTACTGTTTGAAAGTAGTTTAACCTTATTCGAATTTGAAGTGATTTACTGTAGAAATTTGATTTTCCATACACGTTAAACAATTTTGCTGTTTTTTATTTCCAAATTCCTCTGCATTATATTTGTCGAAATAATTTTTAACTAAAATCTAGTATTTAAAGTATGCGCTAAATTTTCTAACTTAATCTCTGTGGAGCTGTGATTAAAATTGTTCTCTACACTTCATCTCATACCACTTTTAGATGGTTCCCAACTCTTCTGTAGTATATTTTACCCATAATTTAACATACTAACTTGTTTATCCTGTCACTGTTATATTATATATAATTGTAAAGTTGTGTCGCACAAACAATACTCTTTTATTTCGTGGTTGGAATCGAATTTCCTATTTATCGTAATAGTAGTGGTTGGTTAGCTAGTTTTTACACATATCTTCTTTAAATCAATATTTATTTCATGCCAATACGAAATTTGTTTTTTTTTTTCATATAAAAAAACAACACAGAAATCGTGAATATCATTGTACAACAGATCTTACTACTAAAGAATCAGAAGACATACAGAAACCATTACTGATGATGGTAAGTACGAAAAACTAATCCTATTCCTCCGTAGCATTAACTTTTTTTGTTTTCATTTCTGAGCTGTATGTGAATAAATGTGATAACGAATAGTATTCTCACTTTCATTGATTGTTATGTTTTACTGTCTAACATCCGTTGGATACTTTTACTTCACTCGACTCTTCCGAAATCAAAACAAGAACTGAAAATTAGTACTGTATATTCCAGTAAACTTGAACAACAATGTCTAACATTTCAGTTCGCTGATTAATTGATTGAAAAAGGACCATTTAGTGTATTCCGATTTGAGCCCGATCAGATAATGTAATAGCCAGGACTCTATTCTGCAAACAATTAATATAGTTACTTAATGCTCTTATTATGTTAAAATTTACACTGTTGTAACCTAATTTTATAAGCACTTATAATAAGTTCTACTTATTTTTGTTAGTGAGATATGAATCTACTATAGATTTGTCAAACAAGAATATGCTGTCCAGTTTTGTGTTGAATAAAAGTAACCGCCTTTAAGTGTTTGTTTTAGGTAGAATTATATTTGTCGAAATCTTTGTCCCTGTATATATCATCTACAGAAACGTGGCAAGATCTTATGAGTTAAACATTATTTCTTAATTTTGTATGCAATTTGTAGTGTTCTTAAGGCAATTTTAAAGAAAGTTTATGACTAAGACGTGAATCGGTTAGCTGAAACTAGAGATTCCATCGTGGATGATGTAGCTTTACCCTATGATAATATGATGACCTGAAATCATTTGGTAACCATCGTTCAAATGTGAAAATCAAGTGTGCATACAGTCTCGGTAATAAGTTTTTTTTACATAATTGAAAACACTGTGTATCTAAGCTGTCGAAAGTGATGTAGCAAAAAAATATCTGTACCATCACATTTCTGAATACATATCAGGATAAACTTGATGTGTGGTAGTGAAAGTAAACATGACTGTCCACTTAGTGTGAAAAACCAGACATTCAACTTACCGACTATTAAATATATGAATTCTTTTCCTGTTATTGATTTCCACTCTGATCTCATTAAGGTCGACTGCTTGTAACTGCGTTAAATTAAGTATTATCTAGGGTATATTGTGTCTCCCTCTTACTGATCGTGACTCGTGTATTTAGTATAACTGGATCCAATGTGTGTATAGCATATCGTTTTAGTATTCGATCTAGTGATAACAAAATCTCGGTTCCCAGTCCATTTATCGCATTACAGTAGTATACCGCAGAAATAGAAAGTATTTTTATTCTTCCATTTTGTCAAAACTGTTATTTGTAAACTCACAGTGTCCATTATTTAAATGGTCGAATGCACAGCACGTCAATTCAGAAAGTTTTACATTACAACTGTGGTGATGATGTTTTACACTGTCTTTTGAACACGGCTGATTTCATAGAATCGCTATACGTAAACAGCAACAGTTTGGGTTGAATAAATTGTATTATGTAACTTACCAGGTGCATAAATAATATATTTGTAATATCCCAATAAGTAGAAAATTAGATTTTCTAACGTTTCGTGACTTAGTGTAAGTCACTTCTTCGTGTTCATGTCGTTGGTTTTGAGCGACACTAAAAATGTGACGGCTAGTGATAATACGCAGCTGCCCATACCAAATATAGTAGGGCAGAGTTCGAACCCTGAACACTAAATCATCTTATAACGATAACTTCTTCGATTTTCTAATGTACAGATAACGCTAATAATTTTACTGACGATCATTAAAGCATTTGTTATCTGACTAAGGAATTAATTTACAATGATTAGCTAATATTGCAAAGGATGGAAATTCGCAATAAGTAAGTTTTGTTAAACAATGTGGTTTGCTTGACTCTCGCAAATTAGTCAAGAATCCTAAAACTTAATAATTCAAGTTTCAACATAGGAAAGATTACTTTGATGTCCGTTAATGTTGGTTGTGCTGCACAATTGTTGAATTTGAAATTTCATAGACACAATCATGATCATTCACTTGGTAGTGTTACTCCACGTCTTAATTATTGTAAATACGTCCCATGTTTAATGATGTTGATGAAGACAGTCTTATTACTTACGAAAGGAAACTTGACATCAGTTTAGCAGACTGACTATTTCATGTATGTTTTCTGAAGTACACGCATAATCACATCATATGTATATATGTAAACAGAAAAGGATATTTTGTACGTTTTTATACCATATATACTCCGTAAAATCTGTTGTATGTCCATCGTTAGTCAAGAATTGTGATGTGTAGTGTACTATACCTCAAGCCTCAGTGGTTTGTATTGATATGTAGTACGTAAGATACAGTCAAAAGTGTCTAGTTTTTGATTCATAAATCATTCTTCCTAGCTTATGTTTTTCACCTTCTTCATGTTACATATACATTAGCTGATTATACATGTTTTAGTGAATCAAATCAACTAATCTGTTTTTTTGAAAGTATTTTCTCTTACAGTTTTCTTATTTTTGTGTCTAAAAATCCCAGATTAATATCTCTTTATTTTTGTGTCTGTAATTTAAGTCAGAACAGGCAAAAGTTATTCGATATCAAATACCATCGACTGATGGAAACGTTTCGCGAAAGCAGCCTAAAGGTAGGTTTTATTTTATATTAGAATTGTCATAGGATTCATTGTTCATGTTAAATATGTCTGTCTTTATGTAGGTCAAGTAATCACACTCGAAGAATTTCAAACGTGAGCAAATCCAGTTGATATTTAATTAAAGCTAAATGCAAAGTACTGAAACCAGCACTCTAAGCGATGCAAAATACCGTACTATGATAGAGGTACAAATAAAATGATGAATATCAACCTCCGGTTTGTAGTTTTCTGAATACAATGAATCCAAAGCTACTCAAGTGCACCAATAAAGACCGATTAGCACCTATAACAAACAATACTATTGAATAACACTATAAAATGATACTAACTTAAAGAACTGGTCAATTAACATGGGGATTTACGGGAAATCCCCTCTCAAATATAAGAAGTCTAGTTCAGAAAAAGCATTCATATCATTAATTCGTTTCGTTGCTATGGTTATTGTCTGATGAATATTTAGAAATCCTTGAAGACTCAGACGACGGCTGTTGTTGATGTTCTGCCCAATTATGATCTGACTTATTTTATTCATACTGTAGGGCCAGTAAAATGTCACTGAACCCTAGCCAAATCATCACTGAATATCGAACAAATCATCGATCCTCGTCAAGGTCGAGGACAACCAACACGCATAAGTTAATCGTATGCCATGGAGTGATGCATGCGGTGGTGGTCTCGCTATCTTCTCTGCACTCATTCTTACTAATACATTTTCATAATAAGGTCTTTTGTGTTATTTGATCTTCAAAGCAACCATGGTACTTTCATACGTCGAAGGGTTAATCCACGTTAGATGCTGACTGCGAGATGTGACTTCGAAGTTAGCTGGTTCTTCATACCGTTCCCGTCTAACTCGACTAGACCTCCAATCATTCAACATGGATAATTTGCGTTAGTGATCTACAATACATTGTATCCTTTGTGCTCTATTTTTTATGAGGCAGATGAAATGTATCTAGTAGTAGAATCCATGATGCGCGTTTTATCCTATTTTGGACTCGCCAGCTGGGTGCATCTAAACCTGAGTTGATGTTCACTGCGGGACTCGAACCTGCCACCTTTTGCTTCAAGCGCCAACATACTGTCCGCTTAGCTACTGAGTCCAAGTAGTCAATTGTTCAACAGACACGAATTTTAATTTGTAATGGTTTGAAGTGGACGGTATTGTGCTCGATTCTCGGAGTTAACATCGACATTTTTGTATATCCTTAACTATCATAGTTTTATAGATTTGGCACATATTTTCAAGCTGATAATGTAAACAATAAAGTGTTTGTTATTTAAATCATTATCGTAATAACGTCAAAAGCTGAGAAAGTTTATTTGACCGTATCTTCGTACTGTTCTCTTGTTTTTACGACAATTTTGAAATGCTTTTGAAACATTTTTTTAATGTATCAAACGTATAATATTCACTTCGTTGTTTATGAAGGTCTTTTTGGTTTGACTCTACACTGCAGATTGAGATCATCTCTATAACCACTAAATGCTAAAGAAATCTAGACAGTTATGTCTTACAAGTTATGGACTCTTCGTCAGTCTTCGCCATGTTTTCATTTTCGACGACTTTCCACCGAAACCCAATTCGAATAACTATCAGGTATTCATCATTGACTTGCTTCAAGAGGGATTTGCTAAACTCGATCATTTGAAGTTGTCACTTTGAAGTCAAACGCTGTCTGCGATAAGACAGATTTACATCAACAACACTGAATGTCGATTGATGCTAAAAACTAGGGAATATTGGATTTTAACTAGGGTGGCCTATTTATAACGTGTTGTATTCTATTCGTATGTTTTTATGTCCGCTCCTGTATGGCGTATTGAGTACATGTTGCTGAGAAGCCCTAAACTTAGACAAGATTGCTCTGTTACGTTGTATGATTTTCAATAATTCTCTAACGTACATAAATCTGTATCATGTGCATATTATTTGATAAGGAGAAGAATCAAACTGTATATTTGATCAGATCCCTGATTCATCTAACTTAGTTTTTTGTTCATTTACCACTTGGTATATTTTTTTAGAGGGTATGATCAATATGACTGGTAAATCATATGTTTGCATTCTTCATGAGTATTGCCAAAATGTTATACGTCGTCCGCCGACATATCAGACAACAGTTCTTGAAAATGATAAAAATCCCTATCAAATGACAGTATTTATTAATGGTAATCCATATGGAACCGGTACAGGGCAAAGTAAAAAGTGTGCAAGATTAGAAGCGGGTATGTCTTTTCTTGACTGTTGAAAATGGTTATTTATTTATTCTTGTATTAAAGCTAGTCGAATTATGTAACCCTGTTACTTTATACGTTGAAAATGTTACATGTCTCAAACATTCTTGGTAGAATAAATTGAATTCAGTAGAGGATAAAGGATAATCAGAGTTATGAATAAGTTCAATAGTGATTTTATATATAGACTTAATAATTATCCCAAAACTTTTCGTCTGGCTCGTTAAAATATAGTTTGTAATTATCAATTATAACCAGAATATTAATGTCTTATTTGATAACTTTTTATGTTCTCACTCTTCACAATTATACATTCACTTAAAATAATATCTGATGTTTGCTTTATTTTATTTTATGAAGCTCGTAAGGCGCTTGAAGTTTTAATTCCGGATTTTCAAAAGATTGTATGTAACAATTCACATCAAACAGGTCCAGTGGTAGCCTCTGATCGTGATATGCAGTTGTTCGATTCCATTTCGGTGACTGATCCACGTTTATATGAATTATCTGTGCGTATGGCATTACCTACTCCATATAATCTACTTGTTGAATGTTTAAGTCGAAGTTGTGTTCCTGAGTCTGATTTGAAGTCAAATATGATATCTCAAGGACGCAGTAAACACTTTTTCACTTTACAGCTGAGAGAACATACTGTTAAGGTAGGCTTAACTATTCCTATAATTATAATGATAGCACTATATGTAATTTACTTATAACTTTGAAAAGACCAATACAAATGAATGTGAAAGCCATTATTAGGAAAAAATTTAGAGTGTTTATAATAAGATAACAATGTTTATCAATGTATCACACTTGTTAAACTCTTCGAATGTTGTACACTACACTATTTGAAAACGTTTGGAATAACAATCTATTGTCCAGTTTTATGAGTCCTATGTCAATGTCCAATGTCAACAAGTAGGACATTTTTGACTTTAAACATTCACAAGTTGATTCGTTTATATTTTTCTCTTTTATAGCCTGACTACAATTCTTATTGGTTCTTAGAGTTTTATCTTTGTTCTGTTTGTTTATAAGAAAGCGTTTGGTATCATTTAGTCATTTAATTATTTCTATATGGTATTCTTCCTTAGTTAAAACACTTGTATTGGATTATTAATTTATTTTAACACAAAGATATTGGTACAAGGAAGCACCAAATACATATGCGCCACACAAATCCCATTTAATTTGTGTGAGGGCTGTGATACTGCCCGGGTGTCTAGACCGAAGCAGGTAGTTTTTTTAGGGGGCCACACTCGAAGCCTTCGACCTGAAGGTCTGATCCACAAGGCAGTGGAGCAACGCCAGGTAACGCAGTCCCATGGTAATCGGTGACCAACGATTGGTTCATACACCATTTGTTCTCACAGGGTACTGGAGCCCATGTGCACCATTGGTTTGGAATCAGAATTTTTCCTTGTCCCCCAAGTGGACCCTTTGTGTCCACCAACCCAGTTAAAGCGCCGGACATTCGTTTTTCGTCCTCTCAATTTCATAAACAACACCCGTGGTGCGAGAAGGCAGTGAGTAGGACTTCCCTGGCAGAGGCTATATACGCGTGGCCATGTGAGAGCATTTCGAGAGGGATAGTGGACTCTTCACACTCTCGGCCGTACCAGGGCATTTGGGGAGCATCCTGGAACCCTCATGTGGTCTGTAATAAATATAAAGAGGTTGGTTGTGTGATAACATATTGGTTTAATAAACTCATAAACTTGACAGTGGATCAACCTTTTCTGTCTTTCAAATAGGCTTTCCATCATACAATTGATTATACATGCCTGTTACATTACATTTGTAAAAATTATTTTCATTGAATTAAATTAGCGTGTATGCGAAAGAAATAGAGCATACGGAATAAAATGAATTCACTTCGTTCTACAATGTTTGTTACTCTTGGTTTACAGAAGTAGATGCTATCTTAGAGAAATACCTTACTCTTATTAATGTAACGACTTTTTATAATTATTTCTTTCATTATTTTGAAACCTCCTTAGTAAATTCACTATTATTAGTCACTGAATAATTATGATTGAAACTAACCATCTCAATGTTCGTAGGTTAGATGTAAAAACAAAAGAGAAGGTCGTCACTTATCTGCTCAACATCTTTTAGCCCGTCTACATCCTGAAGTTAGTACCTGGAGTGGTCTTTTACGTATTTATGGTCCGGGTAGTAAACCAGACAAGCGAAATGAGTTGGAAACAATCCAAGATGCACAAATTCAACAGAAGTCTGCTGTAAAAGCTAGTTTAATTCGTTTATTAAAAGCGAAAATGAGTGAATTAGCTGATCAGTGGGTAAATAACTGTTTTCAATAAAAGATTTTGCTGTAAAATGTGGAGTTAAAATAATTTCATTTCATTTATCTTGAACTCCAAACCTTACTATTTAAACTGTTAAGTTGTTGAAGTGGTTTTCACCTGGAGTTTTCCAGCTTGCATAATACGATCATTTTTATGACTTTATGTCTATCCGTTTATCTGTTGAGGTCTTTTTTGATAGAACACCCAAATCTCTATTTTAATATCACACTCTTATCTAACTTACGTTGTTAATTATCTGGAAAATATGGAATAATAGTCTATATGTGCTGCTTAAGATCTAGATTACTATTGTTTATTTCGTTATATAGAATTTTTCAGCCATAACCAATCCCGATTGAATGGACTTATTTAAGGAAAATCAGTTGTTTATTTCATGTAAATGTACTTTCTTTTATATGCCTACATCTTACATATGACCCTTCTCCCTAAAATAGTTTGATAAAGTTTCGTAATCAAATATTACGTTATTGATGCATGTTTATTTTTAACAAAGAACTCCACATATAACATTCTGTGATAACTACCAAAATGTATCAGATGTATAAAAAACGTCTACTGTTTGAAATATATGAATGAGGCTTTTAACCCCATGCTTCAACAGACAGCGAGGCTCAACTGTTCGAATCTGAGCGCTTTAACCATTGAGTTATTGCTTCATTATAAATATTTTTCATGTGATCGCAACATTAGATTCCATGTACTTCTGGTATGATTTTTTATTTATAAAGCAACCAGTAGAATATCACAGACTATTTAATCACAATTTGAGTATTTTGATGATGACATTACGATGTGTTTACAAGTATCCTTACTGATGTATGCTACCAAGCAACCGGTCATGCTCCATGTCCTTGGCGAATTCGATAAATTATCTAAACTGTTATTTATAGCTAACTAATATAACTGTTATTTATAGCAGTGGTTCTGCGCTTCCACATTAACTTTCGTTTCCATGATCAATTCCAAAGTTGACGATATTCCCTAGGATTTTTTATTATAGTTCTATCACATCTGAACATGTGAACACATATTACGTATGTCTTATGAATAAATAATTAGTTTTGTGTCTTTCCATGAATACTTCCTGTTAGCGTAGCATCGTTGTCTGTTTCCCTAGTAATATTTAATCTCTAGCGTTTTTTAATGTCAATTTTGTGACCAGTCCAATTTAATTATTCGGATCTCCTTAAATTCCTTGACACTTTGTTTTGAATTTAGGAAAAGTCTGGCGGAAATTCGAATCCGAAAGGGAAGTTTTTTGTTTCACCCTACAACCTTCCTGTGGTCGCTTTCCATCCCGACTCTGAGGGTGACTTGTACAGTTCTGCACCGATTGCATCTTCTTCCTCCCCGCCCATACTACCCCCAACATCGGATTAGTCAATTTTGTAGTGTGATTTTCATTTCCAATAATAAAAAATTTCCATTTTTCTTCCCGTACTGTTCACTGATTTTTCTGTATTTACTTTGTCACTGTACTGAATATAAGTCATAATACTTGGCCGATTGAACATTTTAACTTCATTGGCGTTCAGGTGGAAATTCTGACAGTAAGGTAGTTGGTTGTTTAGATTTCTCCCTTTTAGTAACTATTATTTTAATGCAAGATATATATTTGACCTGCTGTTACTTAGCACTTCGTCATTCGGTTTATGTGAGGTCTGGTATACTGCCCGGACGCTCAAACCGAAGCAGATGTTTTCCTTAGGAGGTCACTCCCCTAGTCGTCTGATCTACAAGGTAGTGGAGCAACGTCAGAAAATGCAGTCACATGGTAGCCGGTGACCGAAAATAAATGTATACGCCATTTCTTCCCTCAGGATCATGTAGATCATGTGTACCATTGGTTTGGAATCGAGGTTTTCAAACTCTCCGAGATTAATCCTCCGTATCCACCAGTAACCCTGTAGAACTATGGTCTACTATGATACTAGTACTGCTCGAATAATAGGCCTAATCCTAGAACTGTAGATTTGTCATGATATAACTGCCTAATCTATAAGATCTTACGTGGAAGTTACATAATCGTCTACATCAACTCATTGCATCATAACACTTACCAATACATGATGTAGAACAAGCTAAGGCTAGAGATAGGACAATATATTTAATACGAGTAAAAGATATAAGATAGTAGGGGCCGCGCCATGCCATTCGATCAACCTCTGTTCATTCAAGTCATTGTTCCCGCCTTTCCCATTTATTTATTTATTTAAACACAAGAACATTGGTACAAGAGAGCGCCAATATATATGCGCCACATAAAACAATGAAAATTCGAAAAGAAGTAGAAAAAAACTAAGGAGAGCAAAAAAAAGAGAACAATAACGAGGAGATTGGTGTAAGGTAGTGTGGTAGTAACGAGGGAACGGAAAGGTACAATCAGAAGAAATCTTTCAGTTAAGGGAGACACAACCACTTTCTATGAAGAAAGTAAAAGAAGGTTACAGCAAGATCGCCACTGGCTTCAATTCTGAGCCATATCTGATAACGTCTCTAGCCACTGTGCAGCACCATCTCTCAGATCCCAACCAGGGAGTCGTGAAGGGCCGACAGAAGCCGGTCCTTTGCAGCTTTATTTCAAACCACGACACCATGTCATGCACTGACCACCTCTCCGCTTCTTCCAACCATTCCCAGAGTCGGCAAATAATGCACGACGTGGAATTCTCTGGGACGACATTCGGAGTCACTCAAAACTTTAAATGTCACCATTACATATATAAACAATGAGTTTTGTTAAATATAATTACTTATGTCAAACCAAATCGAATGAATATATGGAATATTTCATTTGTTCCCTTTTTCCCTGGTTTGATGGTTATAAAGAATTTTATTCAGATTCCGTGATAATTTTGCTTTTCTTCACAAAAACGTGGGACAAACTTCATCTTTCCGAAATCGTTATTACAACATTTACATTCAGTAAGGAACAGATATCTACTCAAACTCTGTAAACTTATTTGTATTCGGATGAGAAAATGTTTGAAATACGTTTCCCCATCTCCGAGTTCGGAACATTACTTTAGGGTTGGTGTGCATGAATGTTTATTCTAACTTACTGGGGCGTAGACAAGTAATAACATCTCAATTTGTATACTTATTTTTTGATATCCTCTTTACATATAGACTATGTACTATGGAAACTGTCAGTTAAGAAAATAGATGTTTAAAGTGGCACAGGCAATTATGTCTTATTTATAAGGAATAAAACTTCTGCAAATATATTAAATTTAAAAATGATCGTATGCAAAAACCGTCTTACGAAAGTAAGAATAAATACAATTTTTCATCCATTTTAGAACGGTGAGTTATTAATGCAAAACAAACCCTTGTAGTAGCCATTTACCAGTGGTTGAACAGAATTACGGTCCCACACTAACAAGCTGTAGTTAACATCCTTAAGTGAGGAACAACGCGTAGTTACTTAGCTACCATAACAATATTCTAACTATTATGTCATAACCGTTTAATAATGGTTGTTTGCGAACCCCAATTCTGAATAATTACGGTGATATGAATTCGGACCCATTCATTCAAGAGATGTAAGTATATTACACATAGAAATGTAGTAACAATAGTTTCATGATGAAAATTATAACCACTACCAAAAAGGCAATCTGCAGCATCAAACGATTAAAACGCTTGCCTTTACGACCCAGATAGGGGTGAGTTATCTCTGTCAAGCCAGAACCTGATATGGATGCGCTTTGGCACAAGGTACCATACCATGTTATCATGGCGACATGGAAATGACAAGATGAATAAATAAAATCAAAATAATGCGGTGTCAATGACGATGAAAAAGACTAATCATTGAGAATATGGTTCAACAAGATTTACCAAAGAATACTTGAATACGAAATCGAAAGATGAAAAGTGATTGCATTTGTGCTCCCAAATGTCCTGGTACGGCCGAGAGTGGAGGGAGCCAGCTCTTCCTCTCAAAATGCTCTCACATGGCCACGCGTATATACCCTCTCCCAGGGAAGTCTTACTCACTGCCTTCTCGCACCACGGGTATTGTTTATGAAATTGAGAGGACGAAAAACGAATGTCCGGCGCTTTAACTGGATTGGTGGACACAGAGGGTTCACCTGGGGGAGTTGGAAAATCCTGATTCCAAACCAATGGTGCACATGGGCCCCGGTACCCTGTGTGAACAAATGGTGTATGAACCAATCGCTGGTCACCGGCTACCATGGGACTGCAGTCAGTCAGCTCCAACGTAGGACCAGGCACATATATGCATCTGTCCAGGTTGCCATACCGCATTAGCACAAAAAGATGAACACCAATTTCATACAAGCAGTTAATTCAATGGTGGTAATATATAAAAGAAAGATTGCATGTAAGGACATAGTACACGAAGAAAGAATTATTTTATTTATTTTATTTATTTGAACACATGAATATTGGTACAAGAGAGCGCCAATATATATGCGCCACACAAAACAATGAAAATTCGAAAAGAAGTAGAAAAAAACTAAGGAGAGCAAAAAAAAGAGAACAATAACGAGGAGATTGGTGTAAGGTAGTGTGGTAGAAATGAGGGAACGGAAAGGTACAATCAGAAGAAATCTTTCAGGTAAGGGAGACACAACCACTTTCTATGAAGAAAGTAAAAGAAGGTTACAGCAGGATCGCCACTGGCTTCAATTCTGAGCCATATCTGATAACGTCTCTAGCCACTGTGTTGCACCATCTCTCAGACCCCAACCAGGGAGTCGTGAATGACCAACACAAGCCAGTCTTTTGCAGCTTTCTTTCATGCCACGACACCATGTCATGCACTGACCACCTCTCCGCTTCTTCCAACCATTCCCAGAGTCGGCAAATAATGCACGACGTGGAATTCTCTGGGACGACATTCGGAGAACATGTCCAAGCCACCGAAGTCGGTGTTTCAAGATGGTGACACCAATTGAATTATCATCTCTGTGCTCGAACACACGATGCCGAACCTCTGCATTACTGACATGGTGTTACCACTGAATGTCAGAAATCCTTCGGAGACAGAGATGATCGAACACAGAGAGTCGTCTAACGTCCTCAACTCGGAGAGACCAGGTTTCACAAGGATAGAGGAAAACTGCTCTCACAGTCGTGTTGTAGATCCGACCTTTTACAGCCAGACTAACATCACGAAGGCGCCAAAGATGGCCCAGATTGGCATGAGCCGCTCTGGCTTTCACTATACATGAATTGATCTCATCATTCACGCCACCACCAGCACTTATGCAGCTACCTAGATACACGAACTTCTCGACTACTTCTATCTGCTCACCATCCAGGGTGAGTACAGGATTGGAATCCTGCCAGTCTTGTAGAAGTACTTTGCACTTCGAAGGTGCAAAGCACATACCATACCTACGGACACTGATTGCCAACTGATTAAGTGCGGATTGCATGTCTTGGGCATTATCGCGCAGTAAAACAATATCATCCGCATACTCAAGGTCAAGAAGTCTTTCTCCAGGCAACAGATCCACACCACCATTACTTACATTCATCAGAGCTGTTTCCAGAATGTCGTCGATGGCAAAGTTGAAGAGGAATGGTGAGATTGGGCAACCCTGTCTAACCCCACTGCTCGAATGGAACAATGGAGGGAGGAGGTTGTATGCCCTCACTCTGTCTAAGGTGTTTGTACATAGGGCCTTTAAGATGTTAATAAACTTCTCATGCACACCCTTCTTCAATAGACAATCCCAGAGAACAGCCCTGTCCAACGAATCGAAGGCAGCCCTGATGTCAAGAAACACTACGATTGTTGGCCTTTGGTAAGTATGGGGGTGTTCTAACATTTGGCAGAGGGTAAAGATATGATCAATACATCCTCGACCAGAACGAAACCCAGCCTGCTCCTCGCGAGTCAATCTTTCTCGGGTTTTGAACAACCTACGAAGTATGACGGAAGCCAATAGCTTGGACGCAATCGGAAGTAGACTTATCCCTCGATAGTTGTTACAGGAACAACGTGAACCCTTTTCAAAGATAGGGACAACTATCGACTCATTCCATGACGTTGGTACACTCTCCAGTTCCAAAACCTTTGTAAACAACGTCGTCAGTTCCTTAGTCAGAAAGTCACCACCATCTTTAAAAAGAGCCGGAGGTAAGTCATCTAGGCCAGGTGATTTGTAACGCTTCAAGAGTCAGAGTTCCTTGCGGACTTCCTCCTCGTTTGGTGGATCAGTCGTCACCGGCCATGGAGGGCAGGACAGTCTGACCGATGTTGCCGGAGCAACAGGCCAGTTGAACTGCCCTTCGAAAAATTCTGCCCATCGTCCAAGACGTCGATGGATGTTAGTGATTGGCATCCCATCATCCTCGCAGATTGTTTCACTCACACCAGACTTCTTGCTGCCAGTGGCTCG